GAGCTGCCACGTTGCCTGCCATGAGAACTTGCACCTGGACCGTGGCTATCGATTTCTCATCAGATCTGATTGGTCTATGTCTTCGACACTTCCCCTAAAGCGGACCAATAAATATACACAGGCTTTCTGTGAAAATGTCTTGCTATTGATTAATACGGCTCTCCTCGTGTTGGAGTGCGTTCTCTTCCTCTCCTGTACTGGCTTTGGGAACAATAGTCGGATAAGCACTTAGTTCGTGTTAAGTACAAGTACCAGGTACGGGTTATAACAGTAGGCCTATAAGGCTATAGCACTAATGATAGGTCACACGAACCATAATGTCCCATAGATTTAAAGCACGAACGCAGGTTTTAGTGGGCGTTCGTATTTCCGGGTCTTACCTCAGGAGGTTTGTTGAATATCCACGGCAATTCTGACAATGAACTAACCAAAGTATAAAGGAAATAAAAGGCGATTTGGAGAGAAAATGATTTTACGTCTACCTATTTGTAACCACCTGCCGATTATCACAAAACCCCTTTTATCCCCGGAGTTCAAATGTATGGTCGCAGAGGACGTCCTGTGTGTGTACGGTCTTCTATAATAACCACTGAGGTAGCTTCCAAAAACATCCACTAGGCCTAAGTAATAAAAATTACCAAAAAATAAAAGCCTAACTCTTTAATTTTACAGTCTACCACCATTCGAAGATAAAAATGAGGCTGCGTAAGTAAAAACCATGAAAGCCAGCAAATTATTCAACATTTTCGTGAAGTTTTAATCAAAATATCGATAACTCGTTAAACATCCCCTCCGAAAACTGCATGAGCTATATTCGGGGTGAGATCACTGCGAAACCCTTAATACCGGTTGCAGCGCTTCACAAAATCAGACCTCCGGCGTAAATATCGAAAACCTAGAAAGAACTACAATAAAAAAAACATAAGAATGCCCTGGGATCAATTTCCTTAGATGACACCGAGCTACAAGCAAGGACGAAGCGGAGGACGGAGACTTTCAACGTTAATCTATTTCGAAATACAGGAAATAAAATTTTAGGCAAATGGGTTCATTGGGATAAGTAATAAACTTTTTCGTCAGACTTGAGTGAATGTGCAAAAAAATAATAAACGGTGGGATTATGTCGTGCGATCTTTGAAAGGTCCTTATCTATTATAGCTACCTACTTAAATATTTAAGTAGGTTGAATTAACTATAATCTTCCGATTTTCTACACGTCACCCATCGTTCCACTGGGATTTGCTGATGGCATTGAACTGCAGAGCGGTTCTTCGAAGGCAACCGAATTCCATAATTGCTAAAATCAGCAAACTAAGAAAAGTTGGCCTTTTGAACTACCCACGGAAATTATCGCTTACTTACAAATTTTAAGTGGGGTGATTTACATAATCTTCACACTTTTGTACTTTGTTAAACTTTTTCCTAGTTGGTGTTGGTGATACCACTGAAAAATGCCTCTCAGTTACCTCGCCCGAGGTTTGGGCAGAGTCCCCCTACATACAAGCGTTCGCCGCTGGTCGGGATTAGCGATGATATTAAAGCTCATTTCAGTGTCTTCTCCCAAGGTTTGAGTACACGATCCAACTTGCCCTCGTAACTGTTTTACTTAACATAAATATTGGGATCTAATTTGTTCCCTGGCATGCCCCGCCCGTCCTCTTCACGAAAATCAGGTGTGTGTGAGCCTGCGGAGCTCGCTTTACACTTTTCCCAGGCGACCCCACGACATTATCCTACCTAATAAACATTTCAGACAAGCTTAAGCAACCGGTGGTCATTTGGTCTCTTTGCCAATTTGTGGCCGACGCTTGCCCCAGTCTGCATTAATCGGTGACCGTCTCTTTTATTTTTAGCTGTGGTATTTTTATACGGCCTCTAAATAAAAATGCCGATTGATATATGAGTTGTCGGGGTGCATGGCCTCAAGGAACTCTTGGCCTTTTTTGGAGGGGTAGACTTCGATGATGCGAATTTTGTTCCAGGCGACGGTGTACCTTGTATCAAGGATGTACAGGGCCACTTGGAAGAAACGGTCACGCAACTTGACTGCTAGTGGATATTCATGAATGCATGTGGAGGTGGATTTTCCCGTTTGGCCACGGCATACAGCATCACAAGCTTTATCAAGATAGCTAACCATATCCTCAGTATATAGGAGTTGAGTGCGCAAAGTTGCCGTCAGGTTGTGCGCCATTTTTATTTGGTTTTTCCGTGCCTTTCAATGAGTTCAGACGCATTCTCTATGTAAGGAAGGATTCGACAAGTACATATTTAGTTTGGGCGCATGATTGGAACTATCTAGTTCCTTTTCTGTGGATTCGGGTTGCTTCATGAGCACACACACAAACCAAATGATTGTAAGTTGGTAAGCACGTGGAAATTGTTTTTTGCACATTTTCTCAAGTTTGCCGACTACCTGGGGAACCAGCGTCTAAACTTTAATTAAAGACTTTTGCTACTTTTCCCAAAGAAAAGGAAAAGAAATAAAAAGGTATTTAGTTGTTCATAATATTAAAATTGCTGAGGCCCTCTGCTCAAACATTTAGTTGTCGACTCCGACGAAGCCAGCCCCCTTTCACTTGTAAGTACGTCAACGTAAGCGAATTGCGCCTTTTCAAGAACTGACAGAACTGTCTGATTGGTGGGTAACGACCAATCGCTAATAATTAAGCAGCCTAGTGTCTCTGAATGACGGCCCGAGAAGGCAAACTTAGTAGCCAACGATTGGATACATTCCAAAGCGCTTGCTTTGAGGTTAATGTAAACGTACGCTTTTTTGCAGCCTCATTCAAGCATAAATATATTCCCGACTAAGCTGTTGATCGTTTGAGTATTGAACTTTGCTTTTCTAACTAAATCGATTGAAATGAAACTTTGTTAGTTTGCCGCATAAGTTCACCGCGATTTTTCGGCATCTTTTCGAATGCAAAGAAATAACCTGAGCTTACTTTGAAATGCACAATTTTCGGGGTAGGAAGCCAAACAGCGATTGCACTAAATTTTGAGTTGACTCAATTGTGAAAAAACTCGAGGCGTTTGGTGGGATTTGAACCCGCGCATCAGAGAAGGCCTTTGCCGGAGGCCAATGCTCTCAGTTTGTCCATAGAAGTGAATATGATGAGCAATTACGGTGAAAAAGTATAGGTTCTGAGGTCGGTAAGCAAATGCGAAAGTGGTGGATGTGGCTATATCGTGGTTTTAAAGAAGAAAAAGAAGAAGTTATCTCTGGAACGGCAATGTTATTCTTCTGAGCTTTCGACTCCACACAAGAAGCCATCGACAGAGAAAGTGGGAACGCAGCAAGCGTTGGCTACGCGTAAATGGGGATGGGGGGGGGTTGACACTTGTGATTGGTCAATGATCACGCCACGTCCATTCTCACGCCATCTTATCGTGTGTCCCCTACGCGCGTTCCTGGAATTTTGACGTGTGACCTTGACGTGGCAGCCTGCATGTTTGTACGGGAACTGGGCCGTGGTTTCTGGTCGCGAGTACGGATGGAAAAGTAACAGGGCGGCATATCCACATGCCTGTTGATGGAATTAGGATCTGACACCCAGGCCTCCAGCAGTTCTCGCCCCGTCTTATTACTGGCTCGTGCCATTATCCGTGTGCCCGAAAAGTCAAATTCCTGGCCTTCTTCCAGCGTGTGGGTAGCGATCTGGGACAGTAGGTCGCCTCTCCGCACTGCCCGTTTGTGCTCCGTTATTCTTGAGCTAAGTCGTCGCCCAGTCTGCCTTGTATAATGGCAAGAACGGTCGCGACATGGCACCTGATAAACGACGCCAGACTGCTCACCTACATCCAGTGGCTTTTTGCTTTGCATGAATCGTGAACGCATTGTAGCTGACGAACGATGAGCAATA